GCTGGAATGTTTGCGTCCTACTGTAAATCGAATTTTGTCATTCACATTTATGTCCTAGCACTTTCCTCATTTTGTTGTTTGAGCTGTTCTTCTCTGGAGTGTACAAGGCTGACATTTGCAAGCAATCAGAGAGGTTGAGCATTGTTGCATTTGGGTACATGCAAATAAGAGTGTGAGTGATGCGTAATACAGCTCCAAGCTCCAGTGTGCATATAAAAAGGTTGTGATGGCTTGGAAAATTACAGCAACATTACTGTTTAACTATCTATCCCTCCTGGGGCTAATCAGTGTTGATGCATATTGCAGCTAATCTGTTATGGTGCAATGTTTTACATTTACTCCATACCCAAAGATTTTATGTTGATTTCCTACTTTCCAGACAGCCACTGGTTTTATTTCATTTCAATACGCTATAAATATAAAATGAGGATGTAATGATACAGTTAAAGCAGTCATGTGGCATTAAGCCCAAAAAACTTGTAGGTCTGCATTTAGGTTGATGCTGTGACATACTCTAACACACACAGTCTGGACCATGTTTCACTTGTAAAGCAAAGAACACTGGCTTTTTGTTTAGATTAGAACATTTCTGTTAAATGGGCAAGGAACAGTAACAAAAGAAGAAGTAGCCAGGAAAAGACAAGAATCCATATTTTTGTTCAGAAGTCCTCACCTGGCTTTCCAGGTAAATAAGGTTCCTCTGTAGGTGATGGGAAAGAACATCAGTCTGCAGTAGCCATAGCAGAAGGAAGAGAAGAAGCAGGAGCAGTGAAGCCATGTTGTTTGGTAGATATGGACAAAACAAGACAAGAGGAAATAAGAAGAGGACAGAAGGGGAAGGTAAAAGATAGTCAAAGGCACATTTCAACAGGAAGGATGAAATCATAAAAAGAGAAAAATGAAGATCATTTGAGATGTAGGGCTTTAGACATAATAATGTATCGCTGTATGTTTATTTTTCACTTAGAATAAACTTGAGGATTGTGTTTTAGTTGCTAAGTTTATTTTTTCTATGACAAGCTTTCCCTATAATATTAATTCAAATATTAAAAGGGTTAGCAATGAATGGTAAAAATAACCACTGAATATTCAGTAATCTGGGGTTTGGCAGAATCAGCCTGCCCAATGTCAGCTTGTTTGGTGGTAGGTGAACAAGTTGATCACAATAACTGTGACTGACCATCATGAGGAAAATAGCAGAATGTGAAGTTGTCACCATGTTGTATTGAATTTTGAGTAAATGTGCCATTTTGGGAGCCTCACGCACATTATCAATCATAGATATATACACTACATACTGTTCAAGTATAAGTTCATTTAAAAAATAGTATCTCATGCAGCTACATACAGTAGCAGATGCTTCAGCTATGTCCAAACACCCACTTTATTATTCAGGTTGAGCACAGACAGGACAGAAATTGATTAATCTGCAGTGTTTATGATATCTGTCAACAACTGCTAGCTAGCGTTAGCTCCTGAACTGAAAGCTGAAATCAGGGTGCAGAGTCATTTTTCAGTCTGTTGTTCTAGTTGACAGGATCTCTAGGTCTGCTACAAGTTAGCTACAGTTTCTTAAGGTTACCCAATTTAGATGACCACAGTCAGTAAAGTGAGATGTAAATGATTTAAACAACCTTTTAGCCAAACAAAACAAGAACATATGCAGATAACTCCAGCGCCTCCTCCCAAAATGGCACCCCCGTCCCAACATTCAGCACAGTGTGACATACCTTCACATGCTCTATAGCAGAATATAAAGGGTGAACACCACAAATTCTCTGTTCCTACTGAGCTATTTTCTTCCTAATGTACTGTGTATGTAGGGCTGGGTGGTACATTCAGTAGATATTTACAGTTAAGAAACTCTGGGTAGTAACATGGATATAATGTAAAAAACTGTTAGCCATTCCTCACTTCACTTAAGATGGAACAGTCTGGTAGCTTGAGAAAATATAGAACATGACGGTAATGCAACCTACTGACCAGGAAAAAAAAACGAGTACGTGAGCGCTAAAACCATGTGGCCATATCCAAAACTCCATATCATACAGTAACTGTCTCATATCACAATATGACTTTATATATTATATTACCCAGCAGTTCACACATGCAGATTGTTAAGTTGTAACTAGTTAACACATGTTCTGCAATATAAATCATACAATTTACAAAACCTAAAGCAGTCAACCCAAAACACACAACAACATGCTACACTTCAAACTGCAACAATTTCAAAACCAGGGACACCAGACATGTTACACACTTACTGTACATTTGTTCTAAAATAACTTTGAGCCTTCCACCTCAGAACTAATAAAGTTAGTACTACACTGGGCACACATAAGACACAACATGCTAGTGGCTTCAAACCAGAACTTGTGATGCACGTCAAGCTGAAAAGAGACAAAAAATGATATGTTTTTTTAATGAATCAGCTCTGATGCATCCAAGTTCTCATGGTTCACAACTGCACAGAAACCTCAAGCCAACATGCTTGGACAGGAGTAGCGCTGCCAATGCAAACCCATGCAAGTGCAAAAGAAAGCCCATGAATCAAGATACCAAACCCCAACATCCACACACCCATCAGTCTGCACATACACTGATGTCAGAATAATACATGTTCACATAGTAGGATACCTGCAACTGGTCAACAATGCCGTATGACTATGACATTCATTTCTAGTCTGATGGCTCCAATAAATATGACTGCATTTTAAAAGTAAAAATTAGGGTTTATTGTCAAAGTTTGTCCCAAAATATATCATATCATATTAATATGTCCTTTTAACGTGTCTGCTGTTTTGTGTTTATTCTCTCACAAATTTGGAATCCTCAGTTTCCCTGTGCTGCATCTGTTGTTGCTTATTGTTATTTAGTAACGCCACTGTTGACCTGGGGATGCAGAAAACAAACATGTGACACCTGGTGTCATCAGCTCATGTTGACATGTTATAGTTTTACTATGCCAGCTCCTCACTGGTGCCACAACAACAATAATTGTTATATTATATTTGAATTATTTTTCATATTTTTCTATGGTAATGGCACTCCATGTTACTATGGTAATTTCCTGTGATACTTGCCTTCCAGTGTTTCTTCTGTGGTACCCAAAGTTGTGTAATATGTTTACTAACATTTCCTGTACTTGTTCTATGGTACTTTACACCTGGCTCTTTACAAAAAGCACTTCTGTAAGGGATTAGAGGCCTTTTTGTGTGTGACAGCTTAAGGCACTATGTACTGGTTTCTACATTCAGCCAATGGTTGTTGCTCTTTGTTATAAAAGTGTGTTAAATGACTGACCAAAGTTATTAGAATGTATTCATATAAATTAACCTCTGCATCAAATTCCATTAAAGGTTATCTGAAAATGTCAACCTGTTGGTGGTGCTAGGTACAAGTCAGTAGAATCTGAGAGCCATGAATGTCTGTACCACATTTTGTAACATTGTAGCTATTTAACTAGTTAAGTAGAAACTCCAGCCAGCTGGTGCCATTAGATGAAATGGGGATCACCAGAGTCATTAGTATACATACAGACCATGAACATATGTACCAAATTCCAGGACAACCAATCCAACAGTTGTTGAGATATTTCAGTCTGGACCAAAGTGGTGGACCATTCAACTTCTACTGTCAACACAAAAAGACAAGTGCTTGAGTAGTATTGACTACACTGTCTTCTACCTTTCACAGTTCAATTTTACTGCCAGTACTGCCAGTCTACACAAGGAACCTCTCCTCACAGACACACAAAAACACACAGAATGTGGGATTTTGATTGCTTGACTGGAAAAGCACAAATGCATGCATGCAACCACATGTACATACATACATACTGTACATTCAATGCTGACCTTGGCGTTGGGCCCCTCCATGCCCAGGGCCATTAGCTGCGCAACTGTGTGTTCCCGCAGGCTGTTGAGCTCTGCCTGCTGTCGACGGAGCTTGATCAGCATCAGAGTGAGCTCCTCGGGCTGCATAGAGCAACAGACAGAGGAGAGAAGAAGAGCTGCCACACTGACAATATCAACAACACCCAGTGACTAACTGTTATTAGACATAATGCACTGACTCAGATGCCTTTTAATAGGAGAGAAAGCAGTACAGTGGCCTTTTTTCACAATACTGGTCTGCCAGGACCTGTGCCTGTTAGTTCAGTAATGCAATTTGAATCTTTAAATGCAGTATTATGCACATAATCATCAGCACCAGATGAACCTTCATTAACATTCTGGGGGCAGAGTTATTTTATATACAGATGATAACCTTGTTTATGTTGAACAGTCATAGACATTTCAAGCTCATAGCCTTACTTTTGTCTTCTTTTCCAATCTAAGACAATATGAACAGAAACCTCATCATGCAACACTAGATAGCATGCTAACTATTAAACTGTATACTAGCTCTGTCGTATCCAAAGTGTATTTCAGAATTGAAAAGATAATACCTGGGAGATTGATATGATATAAGTCAAATATGGTATATGTCAAATTCTCATGATATGCAAGAGAATTTGACATACGAAAACCATTATTTAATATAATTTAAAGCTTTATTACTTTAAAATCTTTGGCCATTAGGGGTCAAACAACTCTACAACAGGCTGAGATACACAAATACCTGATATATTAAAGCTTTAATAAAATATCCAGCTAACCTGTTAGCAAATGACTGCCTATTTGCACATCCAGGAGACAAAGAGCACCATTAATTGTTTGGAGCTGTGCCTTTTGCCACAGTAATGAAGGTAAGACCAATAAGGACTTCCCTTTGATCTCTAATTTGGCTTTTACCACCTGTCAGGGCCGCTCGGCGGCCGCTGCCTCTCCTCCGTCTTTCTCACCTCTGCTCTCTCTATCATGTGGGCTCTGCACCTCAGCTGTGTTGCATTCCAGTAATTAGCAACTGGTTTGTCATGCACACAGCTGGGGTGCATCCCGATGATTACCTTCGCCTCCTTATATAAACTTCTGGCAGATGCTCCGTCTGGGCCAGAACATTAACATAGTAACGCGGACTGTACATGTTGGTAGAATGCTACGCTGACAGACACTGTGCGTTTTGGCTTGACTCTACCACACTACCTACGAGCTACGCTCATTTACACTACACTACACTACATATCATACATATCCAAGTACCGTACTTTCCCATGTTATGTTCTTTTGATACTTTGTGTTCACTTTATTTACCTGCTACCGTCATGTTTTTCCCCCTAGCACCTGGGTCTGCACACTTGAGTCCAACCTCAGTCCTCCCTCACCCTCCTGGTGAGGGGGGCTACCATAACACCACCTCTCTCAAACCACAATCAAAATAGTGAGCCAAAAGAATATGGTTAGGTATTGTTCAATTTTTTGATTTTTTGATACTGCTACAGGTACCAATATGTTGACTTCGGTACCAGTTCCTGAAGGATACTTTTTTGATACCAATTTTATAAAATGCATTTTAACATGGATATTTACAATCAGTTTAGACTGAGAAAATGTTACATCTCCCATGCAATGCACCTTGAAGTCAAGCCTCTCAAAATACTCCAACATACATGTGATGTGAGGCTTGTCTCTGTGCACTGTAATAAGCATGTTTTTGCATGTTGCAACAAGCATGCTGCATTTTTAGTCGCTCACTGACGCTGATGAGATTTACTCCTTAGTTATCACAATATGGCCCCAAATGACTAGGCATTTGTCAATACTCAATAGTATCTAAGCAGTTTGGTCTGTATTATTGACTTTTGCAAAAAGGTGATTAACTACTTGCCACGTCTAATACATGGTGAAGAATTTAAGGGGGTAGCACACTTCAAATTATTGGGTTTGACAATGATGGAGAGTCTGTCATGGGATATTAACACAACATCAGTGATTAGGAAGGCACAACAGCATCTCTTGTATTTGAGGAGGTTAAAGAGGGCAAACTTACTGCAGAAGTCTCTATTGAATTTCTATCACTGTGCTACTGAAAGTGTGCTGACATATAATGTATCAGTGTGGTTTAACAGCTGTATTAGAACGGAGCAGCAAGCTCTACCACAGGTCATAAAATCTGCTGGGAAAATAATCGGTATTCCATTACAGGACATTTCTACTACCTACTCCTCCAGATACAAACGCCAGTCAATAAATATTATTAGGGATCAAACACACCCTGCCTACCATTTGTTTGAACACATGCCTTCAGACAGGAGATATACAGTAGCTCCATCAAAGCTGGGACAAGGAAGATGAGAGACAGTGCCCCCCCACAGGCAACCAGGATGTTAAATGAGTAAAGTTGATTGTACTGCTAAGACGCTGATACTGGTGGACTATGGGGAGGGTGGCTGGGAATCTCTGGGTTAAATGTGTTTTATTGATTATTTTAATGTAAAGTTGTATTTTAAATCTACTTGTGGTTATGGGAGTTGCTACATATTTTTGTTGTCTGTAACACAATGACAATAAAAGTCGATCCTAAAGTATTGACATTTGGTAGCCAGCCCTACAAAAGAGTTGGTGATAATTCTTCCTGGTTTGATGAGTGTGAATGACCCCTTTCTCATTCTTATTTTTATTAATGATATAAAAATGTTGGTTTGTGGAGCTTTAAAACTGCACTTTTAAGATTTCTTTACCTTCTTCTTTTGAGGGGAGCGAATACTAAACATTTGCCAGGTGTCCAGGAACACTGCTCTAACTAAATGCTAATACTGCCCTGTGTGTGTTAACTGTTTACACTTTCACTATAACACTTGCTTGTGTTCCCACCTGGTTCTTGAGACCTTATTCCCTAGGATTCAGAATAATGTGTAGTACAGAACAAGAATGAGACTCGGGCCATTTTTCATTTCACTGTTTCCCTTAACTGTTACAAAGCTGATAACGGTTCTATAAATCTCAGAAGGTTCCTACATTTGACATGTGGCTCAGGGGGCTAGGAAATATACTGCATCTGGAGAAAATCCAGTCAGTCAGTATTTCAGTCAGAGAGGAAACCTTTCAAAGGTTTTATGATCCTGCTACTGGCCAGTGTGTGTGAACTGCCTGATTTATTACATCATCAGTCTGGTCAAAATATTTATGTGTTATCACCATATAGTTCCAATTTTATTGTCAGTATAAAAAAAAAAAGACTAGATGAGGGGCGAGATCAACAGTGATTTCAGTTAAAGATTTATGGATAGACCAGTGCAGAAAAACACAGTCCTGCAGACACATACTGTATGGGTTCAGGTAGGTCAGACACAAACACACACATTACACAGTGAAATAAGGGAGCACAGCCACTGTGATAAGACAGTGAACTGAAAAAAAGCCCTGTGTAAAATTACTCCACAAATCTTCCTCATCAAACTGCCACAGCACTCGACTGTCATCAAGTATTCACAATATTATTCACAGCTTGCCTTGAACAGAAATATCAGCTCTCAGTCTTGATTGCTGTTGCTTCAATTTGAGAGCAAAGACAATTTCACTTGTGCTGCCACATTGTGCGTGTGTGCACTGTTATCATTACAATGGCATTGTCAATAATTACATTGGTCCCACAGAGACAAGTGGAAACAGCAATAAGAAGCTGCTGAGAACAAAACATCATTAAGATGGACATGTGAGTTATGTGTCAAGTCACTGTGGGTTTAAATCAGTGATAGACCGTAGAGGCTGTTTATTTTGGTCAATGCTGTCAAAACTTTAACTCTGTAAAAGTTTATGAAGAGGTGGTGGACTGTAGGTTGAATGTAGGTCTCACCGTCTTGCCTTGGAGGGACTGTGGGGTGATGGTCTGAGGAGGGACGCCGGATGCGACAGATCGACGGTCAGGTGGATAGCCATACTGTGGGAGACAGATGAGAAGGGAATGATGCTGACAGAAGACAATGGTTCTTCACCTTGTTTGTCTGTTGTTCATTGACCACACCCATACATTATATATATTCATACAGTTATGGCCAAAAATACTGGCTCCCTCCCCTGCATTTCTGTCAGATAATGCACCACTTACACTTGAAAGTACTTCACTGCTCACTTTCTAAGATTTAATAACACATTCCTAGACACAACAAATAGGGGATATATTTCTTAATACAATCCAAATTTCTACTTCATACTCCATACACATCTTTCCTTTAGAGGAACCCTGTGAGGTACATTATTATCTATAAATGACGCAAACTTCACATGACTGTTGACCATTTTCTACATCACGCCATGCAAATGTTCAAGAATCATATTGTCACATTGAAGCAGAACACTGATAAACTAAAAACACAAACATAAAATAAACATCTGTCTGGAGCCCATAAGGCTTCAAATTCAATTAGTTTGCTAATACAGTATGTATCACAATAGGGCGTTAAGGTGGCTACTGCATTTTTTCCCCCAAATGTCAATAGTTATATATAGTGCATATTCATAAATAAATTTCAATATAATTATATTATAACCAAAGCATTTTGAGGATGGAGGGTTGAAATCAGGGTCCACAGGTTTTTTTTGTTGCTTAGAGACCTTCCTGTAGCTTTATAAGGCTCTGCAGTACACCCAGAAACAAGTGTCAATAATACTACAGTACCACTATAGAATCAACAAAATGACTATTTTACATTATTATGGAATAACAATAAATTCAATAATTGGAAAGACTCCTCTGGCCTGTACATTTTGACATGTGAGTTTCTGGGACAATATTTCAAAAGCCAATATAATCACAATACAAAAACATCAAAATATGTATTGTTTTGTCTAGTGATATGAATTATGTGGTCTCCATACACTAGCAGCTTCATATCTTTTGTAAATAAGATAGCCTAACAGAACGTAAGTCAGTATATCTGGTTGTTCTTTATATAATCAAACCAGTGGGAAAAAAACAGGAATACAGTACAAGTATTCCACAGCTAATCATACATTGTTGTCATTGAATTTTAATTGTATCATGATTGAATCAAATTGTACACTACTATATTGGACATCAAATCATATCAAGAAAAAGTCATATCGTCTCATCCCTTGTTTCTACAGAACAAAAAAAAAAAATCATTTCTCACTTGTTATACTGAGTGTCAATCCTAACTTTTATGGATTCAACATTATTACACCTCAGTTCAACCCAATGTTTCCTCCTCTCTCTGGCTGTGACTACAGAGCACAGTGTGTCCGGTGTGCTAACGTGAGCTGTCTACTGTGTTTCAGTCAGTGCAAACTTGATCTGAGGTGTCACTGTGGCTCAGAGACTGGGGGCAGTGACTCTACCTGGGCTTCAGACTTTTGACTCAAGTGAGAATCATCCAGTGACTGCAAACTCAACTCTGTATTCTGTTTGTCTCTCTCA